CTGAGTCACAGATGTACAAAACAGACAAATGGTTACCAGGGATGAAGAGAGAAGAGATAAACCGGGAGGCTGGGTTAGACATAGTCACACTGCATGCACACATGCCAAGTCATTTCAGATGTGTCTGACTCCTTGTGATCCTATTGACTGCAGCCTGCCAGGCTCCTCTGCCTAGGGATTCTCCAGGCAAGAATACTGGAGTGGGTTGCCATGCCCTCCTCCAGGGGATCTTCCCTGACCCAGGGATCGAACCAGCATCCCCTGCAGCTCCTGAATTGCTGGCAATTTGTTTACCACTGAGCTGCCAGGGAAGCCCATATACACACCATTATAGACAAAAAAAAAAATAGACATCTAATAATAAACTGCCATTTAGGACAAGGAACCCTACTCAGTACTCTGTAATGGCCTCCACGGGAAAAAAAATCAAAAAAAGAGTTGATATATGCATATGTGTATCAACCTCATACCTGCCAAAGATGCTCGAAGTGCGCAAATAAAACCTTGTGTGCATCAGGACCCAGAGACCCCACAGACTGAGCCAGACCTGCCTTTGGATGTTTGTGTGTGTCTTGAGGCAGCATGGATCAGCACTGGCCTGTTGCAGGGACAGGGACTCTGGCTGCAGCAGACCTGGGAGGTGTGACATGTGACATAACTCCTCTTGGAGGAGGTTGCCATTAGTCACACCATACTGCCACCAAGCAGATTACCCACAAACTGGAGAACAATTATACCAAAGATATTCTTGCACTGCTGCAAAAGTTCTAGGGCCCACAACAGATTTCCCATCATGGGGATCCAGCAAAAGCACTGAGAACCCCCAGGGAATTTGACTTTGAAGACCAGTGGGATTTGATTACAGAACTTCCACAAGACTGTAGAAATAGATGCTTGGAGGGCACAAACAAAAGCTTGTGTGCACCAGGACACAGCAGAAAGGAGCAGTGACCCCACAAGAAACTGAGCCAGACTTGCCTGTAAGTGTCCAGGAATCTTCAGCAGAGGGGTGGGTCGGCAGTGGCCTGCCAATAGTTCAGGAGTACTGAATACAACAGTCTTGGGAGCTGCAGCATGCTGACACAAGTACTTTTGAAGGAGGTCACCATTACTGCCATTACTCCTACCACAGTTTGTTCTCGGGTCAAACTATAGGGAGGGAACAAGCCCCACCTATCAGCAGAAAGTTGAATTAAAGATTTACTGAGCATGACCCCACCCCCATCAGAGCAAGACTCGGTTTGCCCCACAGCAGGTACCTCGCATCAGGAGGCTTCCACAGCCTCTAACCCTTATCCATCAGAGGACAGACAGAATGAAAACCACAGTCACAGAAAATCAACCAAACCAATCACATGGATCACAGCCTTGCTTAACACAATGAAACTATGAGCTATGCTGTGTACGGCCACCCAAGATGGACGGGTCATGGTGGAGAATTCGGACAAAACCTGGTTCACAGGAGAAGGGAATGGCAAACCACTTCAGCTTTCTTGCCTTGAGAAACCCATGAATGATATGAAAAGGCAAAAAGATATGACATTGAAAGATGAACTCCCCAGGTCACTAGGGGCCCAATATTTTACTGGAGAAGATCAGGGAAATAGCTTCAGAAGGAATGAAGAGGCTGAACCAAAGTGAAAACAATGCTTAGTTGTGGATGTGACTGGTGTGAAAGTAAAGCCCAATGCTGTAAGAACAGTATGGCATAGGAACCTGGAATGTTAGATCCATGAAACAAGGTAAATTGGAAGTGGTCATACAGGATATGGCAGGAGTGAACAGTGACATTTTAGGAATCAGTTAACTAAAATGGACCAGAATGGGAGAATTTAATACAGATGATCATTATATCTACTACTGTGGGCAAGAATCCCTTAGAAGAAATGGAATAGCACTCATAGTCAACAGAAGAGTCCTAAATGCAGTACCTGGGTGCAGTCTCAAAAATGACAGAATGATCTCTGTTCATTTCCAAAGCAAACCACTCAATATCACAGTAATCCAAGTCTATGCCCCAATCACTAATGCCGAATACGTTGAATTTGAACAGTTCTATAATGACCTACAAGACCTTTTAGAACTAATGCCAAAGAAAAAAAGTCCTTTCCATCATAGGGTACTGGAATGCAAAAGTAGGAAGTCAAGAGGTACTTGGAGTAACAGGGAAGTTTGGCCTTGGAATACAAAATGAAGCAGGCCAAAGGCTAACTGAGTTTTCCAAGATAATTCACTGGTCACAACAAACAGCTTCCTCCAAGAACAAAAGAGAAGTCTCTACACATGGACATAACCAGATGCTCAATGCTGAAATCAGATTGATTATATTCTTTGCAGTCAAAGTTGGAGAAGCTCTGTTCAGTCAGCCAAAACAAGACTGGAAGCTGACTATGGCTCAGATCAGGAAATCCTTATTGCAAAATTCAGATTGAAATTGAAGAAAGAAGGGGAAACCACTAGACCATTCATGTATGACCTAAATCAAATTCCTTATAATTATACAGTGGAAATGACAAATAGATTCAAGGGATTAGATCTGATGGGCAGAATGCCTGACGAACTATGGATGGAAGTTCGTGACATTGTACAGGAGGCAGTTATCAAAATCATCCCCAAGAAAAAGAAATGCAAAAAAGCAAAATGGTTGTCTGAGGAGGCCTTACAAATAGCCGAGAAAAGAAGATAAGTGAAAGGCAAAGGACAAAAGGAAAAATATACCCATTTGAGTGCAGAGTTCAAAAAATCAGCAAGGAGAGATAAGAAAGCCTTTCTCAGTGATCAGTACAAAGAAATAGAGGAAAGCAATAGGATGGGAAAGAAAATTAGAGATACCAAGGGAACATTTCATGCAAAAATGGGCTCAATAAAGAACAGAAATGGTATGAACCTAACAGATGCAGAAGATATTAAGAAGAAGTGGCAAGAATACACAGAAGAACTGTACAAAAAAAGATCTTCATGACCCGGATAACCATGATAATGTGATCACTCACCTAGAGCCAGACATCCTGGAATGTGAAGTTAAGTGGGCCTTAGGAAGCATCACCATGAAAAAAGATAGTGGAGGTGATGGAATTTCAGCTGAGCTATTTCAAAATCTTAAAGATGATGCTGTTAAAAGTGCTGCATTCAATATGCCAGCAAATTTGATACATCAATGGAACAGAATAGAAAGCCCAGAGATAAATCCACGAACCTATGGTCACCTTATCTTCAACAAAGGAGGCAAGGATATACAATGGAAAATAGACAACCTCTTTGACAAGTGGTGCTGGGAAAACTGGCCAACCACCTGTAAAAGAATGAACTAGAACACTTTCTAACACCATACACAAAAATAAACTCAAAATGGATTAAAGATCTAAATGTAAGACCAGAAACTATAAAACTCCTAGAGGAGAACATAGGCAAAACACTCTCCGACATAAATCACAGCA